ATTAATTGAAGCTCTGGGAGCTACTCTGACATTCTGATAACTTTTCTGATGGTCTGCAAGTTTCTCCAAAGTTTCTAAAATTTTAAGAAAATCTCAAAAGTTTTCGGATTTTTCCTGATGCTCTGTAAAGTGATATTATTTGAAAATCAATGCATTTCTCTGAAGGCTTGCTACTTCTTAAAACTTCTCAGAAATGCTGCGAAATTCTGAGAATTGTTCTGAAATTCTGGGAAATGATTTTCATGTTCTGATGATCTTTGAACTTCTCTGAAGTTCCGAAAACTTCTATAAACTTCTTTGAAATTCTTAAAAATCATTTAAGATCTTTCTATGGGTTCAAAAATAATAGATGTTGGTTTATAATCTGTTACAATTCTATATGTATTTCGATTAGTGCAAAATTTAAACCGACCGGATTCACATAGACATAATTTAATTTTGCTACAAACATTTGATTTTAAATGCTTCAAGTTTGGAAAAACATTATTTTTACCAACTAAGGTCGATCTTTTGCCCCACTTTACTTTATATTAACCATAACTTTCATTTCACAGTGTTCACTCGGCTGTCGACAAAAGCAGACCACTCTCGATGTGTGCTACGCGATCGTCTGTTTACTCGGCAGCAACCATTGTGTGGTCCTCCTCATTGTTCTTCATCAGCAGTTCTTTCGGTCGATGCGTCGTCGACTTTGGAAAGCAACCGTTTCGTGATGAGTGTGTGAGTGCTGACCACGTTTTGCGTCCATTGCTGCAATGGACGTGCTTTGACCCTCGTTGGCGTACAACAATTTGCCATACAATGAAACTACTGGAAGCGGCTCCAGTTCTAATGGAGGAGGCTTTTTGGATAGCGGAAGATAAAGTGTTTATTGTGTTGTACCTTTTGACTATAGCTTTAAGATGTATTGTATAGTGACCATGAATCCTCGGCTCTGTTAAGTTAATTCGGTTGAGCCTTATCAAATAAATTAATAAACAAAAAAAATAACTTTCATTTGCATTAAGCTGGGTTTAGACTAGGCAAGTCAAATGATCAACTCAGTTGAATTCAATTGGCTTGAAAAGTTGAGCCTGGTTCAAATTTTTTAAATTCAAGTGAGTTGATCAAGTCAGTTGAATGGCATGGTTTACACGTTCAATTCGCGTTCAAGTGAGTTGAATTCAACTGACTTGATCAATTGACTTGCCCTGTCTAAGCCCAGTTTAAAATGTGGCAAGCACGCTATTTAAACACTACCCAAATTTGGGTATAATCCACACAGATCGGTCAAAACTGAACCTACCCAAAAATGGGTAAACCATAGACAAGCAGACATAACACTCGCAAGTTGTTCATCACACGCATTTAACGGTCAATTTAAAAGTATCTTAGTTGGTTGTACCGGCACCTGCGGCGCACATAGTCAATTCCTTTGCGTTTGACGTTTACACACTGCCGCCATCTGTTCAGCGTACTACCCACCACAGTGTACTCAACAGATGGCGGTATTGTTTTAGCGACGATGTATTAAGCTGTGTTGGGAGCAGAGATGCCAGATTTTTTTTTCAGAAGTCTACGAAAAATGTCTGTGAATTTCAGAAATGTCTGTAATTCGGCTGCATAAAACTAGCAGAAGTTTTGCGTATGACGGAGTCATGAAATAGATGAGAAAACTCCAAGTTGAGATTAATTCACTCATATTCAGTGTTGGAAAAATATCATACAATCAAATCTCACCAACGCCAATGCCCAAGATCACGCTTTATTTTCATAGACAAAAATCAACAAGCAAACAACTGCGGTTGATTTTGCAAACTGTGATGTTGCAACTTGGAATATCAAGCTAACAAAACTGACCAGCTGCAAATCTCTCCAAACTGTGGTGAGATTGAGTTTCATGATTTTTGCTTTACATCCGAACGCAACCGAAACTTCCATAGCGACTGGCAGCAGTCCCTTCGTGTCTGCCATCGGCGCAGATTAGAAAGAGATAGCAAATTATACTTTCTTTTTCTAAGAAAACGATGTGAAACGGAATCATTTTTGTGTCGAGTCAGCTCTCAGCTTGATTTTTGCACGTTGTGAATAGTCTCGCAATATTTTATTTATTTATTTATTTATTTATTTTTTTCGGCAAGGGGAAAAGCCAAGATGGAAACATTTAATAATTCCTTATGTTTCAATCTCAGGCGTAAAAACCCCTTTCAAAAGATTTGTACAAAATTTCATTAACAATAGTTTACAATTCTTGGTTTCTTCTTCCCCTAACTAATTCATTACAATGCATACAAAATAGTTACAATGAACCATTGGCAGTCTAGAGACTGATTGGGAGGTTCTTTTTCGATATTCAACTGTGCAAATGAGAGTTAATTATATTGATTGGTATATAGAAAAAAAATAGCTTTTTAGTCTAGGCAATATTTTCTTTGACGTACCTTTTCAAGGCCTTTTTGAATGTATAAATCAAAGGGATATTTTTAAGATCCATTGGCAAATTATTGAAATTAACTATAGCGGGATAAATACAACCAAATCGCATATAGTTGGTTCTAGGGATTGTAACTCGAATATTGTTAACATTTCGCGTATCATATCGGTGTGTATCACTTAGTGTTTGAAAATCTACATTATGTTTGATCAAGTTATTTTTTACTTTGAATATGAATAGAACCGATTCATAATATTTAATTTGGCTTAAATTCAACACGTTATTATTAGTATACAAATCAATAGTTCTTACATTCGGGTCTAAATATTGTTCCCAGAAAATAGTTCTTATGAATTTGTTCAAAGTTGTTGATATTTTGCTTGTAACATAAGTAGGTGCATTTTGCCAAATTATATTTAAGTAGCAAATTTGTGAATGAACATGGGCATAGAACAGATTTTTTTTCTCTTTCATAGGGATCATATGACTACTTTGTCGAAGAATTCCGAGAAATTTTACTAACTTTCGGTGAACTTGATCAACGTGCAGATTCCACTTAAGGTTTTGTTGTAGTATCAGCCCCAAGTATGTTGTAGAAGCAACCCTTTCTAATTTTTCTTCACCTAGCCACAAGTCATAATTTAGGTCACAAAATCGGTTGGTACTGGAGAAAATCACGAACTTGGTTTTAGATGCATTAACTGTTAAAGAATTATCATAGAACCACCGATGTATCAAGTTCAGATCGTGCTGCATGTTTTGAAATAAATCTTCTATACTATTAGCAGCATAAACAATCGCAGCATCATCGGCATACAGTTGAAGTTTTCCCTTTAACGGCAGCTCAAAAATGTCATTGATGAAAACATTAAAAAGCATTGGGCCTAGTATGGAACCCTGGGGTACTCCGAAATTAACATTTAGATCTGAGCTTGTGTGGTTATCAATGACTACGCGTTGTTTCCTGCCATTTAAATATGTTTCAACTAGTTTTAGAGCATTATTCCTTATACCATAGCTTTGTAGTTTTGATAACAGTATACAGTGCGGTACGCAATCAAAAGCTTTTGACACGTCTATAAAGATTGTGGAGCAAATTCTACGTTGGTCAATATTCTGTTGAATTTCGTTGACAAGGTTCACAGTAGCACTAGTAGTATTAGAATTTGGCTGAAAACCATACTGATTTTTGTTGATTATTTTGTGTCGATCAAAAAAACTGCATAGCCTATGCTCAATGAGCTTTTCAAATGGTTTGGACAATATTGGAAGTATTGAAATCGGTCTGTAGTTGCTAGTGTTATTTTTCTGACCACTTTTGTAAATAGGCACAACTTTAGCAGATTTTAAACAGTTTGGAAAAACGCCTTCTTCGATTGACTGATTAATTAAATATGTTAATTTGGGAACAAACAGTGGAATGTTATTTTTAATTAGTTTGGATGGAATTCCATCTATTCCTACCGCACTAGAATTCCTAAGACCACGAACATAGTTACTTATTTCATTATTTGTAGCTGGTAGCATAACAATGTGTTCTATATGAAAAATCACTTAAATTTCATTTGACATATAAGGTTCATGTGATGTTGTGGTGCGATTCCCAATTTGATTAATTTAAACTTTAATTTGAGACGATTTTATATGCCATGTTGTGTGTAAATCCGTTAGTTACTTAGTACTGGTCCTATTGCATGCCAGCAGCGAGGGAACGAGCACATCTTCGTGAAAGATTCAACTTTCCACCACCTAAATAAGCTTATTAATACTATTCTAAACACTTCGTGCTCAAAAAGTGTTGATGAATCAGGATCAGGGTTGCTGAAATGATTCAGATAGGAAGGAATATCGAAATAAAGATCATCGAGAAATGGAGAGTACTGTATATCGAAGCCAAGTATGATGAATTGGCGCTAAACACTAACACTGTTGTAACGATTTTACAAATACAGTTTTGAAATAAGATATATCAAGCAACATATTCATTACATTTTGCAAAATAATTACACACGTGAGGGAGGAAAACTTGGTTGAATATAACACAATTTGCTGTTACCAACTGTTTTGCCTTTCTCGTTCCAGAAGATGTGTTTCAGATCCCCATAGATTTCTATTGATTTTTCCCGATCGTGAATTTATAATGCGTGTTGCAAAATACATCGCTCGTGTAACTTGATTAAAGATGTAAAACAGTGTAACCAAATAAATTTTAAAATTTTCCTTTGATTACAAAAGTCTGTAAATGTCTGTAACGAAAAAATTGCCTATGAAAAAAATAGAAGGCTGTAAATTCACAGACATGTCTGTAAATCTGGCATCTCTGGTTCGGAGTGACAAGTTGACAAATGAACAACATCGACATAAATCAGATCGACTTTGTTCATTTGTCAACTTGTCACCCGTAACATAGTTTACCCATTTTTGGGTAGGTTCAGTTTTGACGATCTGGGTAGATTCTACCCAAATTTGGGTAGTTTTGAATAGCGTGAGCATATGCCTTATCTTTGCACCAATTTTAAGGTGAGGTTCAAATCATGCCCATAAAGCCGCTACTACCACATAAACACTAAATTGCGCCAATACTCACCAACCAGCTCGAACTGCAGCGGGTACTCAAACTCCTCGTCGTTGGCCCGCAACCGGTAGATGACGGATCCGACGGTGGCATCGGCCGGCACCAGGACTAACCGCATCCGTGTCGAGGGATCAAATTTGGGATCCAGTCCAACGACCGTCCGCTGTATCAGGCCGACCAGCAGCCAGCACTGCCAGATGGCGAAGGTGAGGAACATTCTGCAATCGGGATGGGAGAGAGATAGAACTTGAGTTAGAACACGGTGACAATTTTGGTAGAATGTTACGGTCATAAAGTGGTGTAACTTATGATTGCTTAGATAATGCCAGTGCCTGTGGAGATCGAGGTGGGAGTTGTTTGGCTAATGAAGCCATTAGGGTGTCTCTTGCCTGTCGCTGTCGCTGCGGCGTTGCCTACATTGTATTTCGAGGAAAATATCTTTACATGACTCTGGGCTGTACCTAATGGTCGATTGTGTGTAAGCTCGGTCGTCGGTGCCGCTATATATGCACGCGTTATGGAAATCATGGGGCAAGATGTATAAATATTTATTATAAACGCAGAAATTTATCGATGATTAGACGGGATTTATGGTTACGCGGATAGCCAACGCTCGCGCCTTAAAACGGGGTGCGCGGCTCGGTTGCTCGTTTAAAAATATTTGATGCTACCAGGCATAATTTTGAATAACCGGCAGCGGGGCGCATACTTACTGTCAAAGCCTGGTGGGTGGGGTGGTGTGCCGTGATAATTTAACACCTTCCTAATCGTTTACGTTTACGGCGGCCGTAGCAGTTAACCTCTCTCCGTAGGTAGGTAGGTAGATGCTTCTTTCCAAATGTGGAACTCGCAACTGAAACCTGGGAACCAGCTGGGAAGTCTTACAATTGTACCTAGCTCGTATGTGAGAACTAGATTGCGTGATCTGCTGCCCGCCCCAAGGGATTGTGCATATTTTTAAAAACCTTTCTGTCAACGTTCAGCGCGACCGGCCGACAATGGTCGGTTTTCACACACTCTTTCAAAATGCAATCGATCGATTACTGTCAGATCATGTGGGGGAAGCCCTGCTGCGGCCAATTGCGATGGGTACAGAATCCTTCGGGTTGCGGTTTGTTTGAGACAAAACAGGGAGTGGCGGACGGAACGCACCTCGATGGGGCACATGTTGCACTGGACTGGCTAGCTCTGCATGAATGAACGATGGGATATCCTTGGGCGATGTAGCTCTTTCGATTGCCGTGCGTCGTCGTAGGTACCGACGTAATGTGGTTTGTTCTTGTCATGTCAGAGCCGAAGAGAAATGATTGGTTAATTAGCAGTGGCGCACAGTGAGTTGGGTGCGCTCTTGGACAGCTACATGCATAGCTTGGTGAGCAATTAGGGTGATGGTTCTCGGGACGGATACACGGTAAAAAGTTATCACATCTAATCCAAATGCTCTTGCACTTGACTCAGTCTATTATGCGGCACTACGAATCGTAGTGATTTATCATTGATTTTCAAGTTATTTGCGTTTGGAAATAAAGTGATTTGTCGTTGAAAAACATGTACTGTATGTGGTGCCAGTTCAAATGATAATCATTTTGATGTACCCTCAAATCAAAATGATTATCATTTGAATTGGCACCACTGTTTTCATCCATTGAATTTGATTAGTTTTGGTTTTTGAAGCAACTGTCAAAACCGCACATGAGTCACATGACAAACATTACTCGCGAAGGTGGTAAGTCAACAACAAATGAGGACAAGTGAGAGAAGCGATAGTTCTCCATCTCCAACCGAAATAATTTGCGTTCAAGAGCGTGAGTAATACGAAATTGTTGCTGTATTCAATAATAGTGTTTTATTCAGATAAGTTCGATTACAAAACATTCTCAAACTTATCAAATTTATTGCGCAATGTCTCGCCTTGCTTCTACTAAAAGCCTTGCGATGTTGTTCAATCTCACTTGGAAACATGTGATCTGGGTAGTAATATGATATGGTCAAATTCTGAATAACATATAGCAAGGCAAATTTTTTTTTCAGCCAAAAATAAATCCAAACATAAATTATTTAAACTACAAGTGATAGATTGTTAATATCACTATGGTTGACATTTCGAGTTCAAAGCACAGCACATCAACAACGATGGGCAATACAATTTAAAATGAAGTGTGATATGATCTCATCCAAGGGATTTGCACATCGAATTGCAATGTTTGGCAAGTGGTGCAAATTCAACAGCAAATCACTTTACATGAACGTGATGTTTTTTTTACCGTGTAGTAAGAGAAAGAGAGATTCAGACAAGGGTGAGACAGGTTCTGCAAAGAATGTAATTCGTTCATTTCAATGATCCAAGGACTCATTAGCGATAAACTAGCGTTTCTAAGATTTTAAATATCGTTTAAGACAAGCGTGCAATCACGAATCAATGTAAATTCAACACACGAAATACATACCTTGAGGATGTACCATAATGTGGTCTTAACGTGACTTGATGCACATCTTATCTACATTGAACTTTAATGCTTCGAATACCGGGTGGTCCATTAATCCGGTCAATTAATTTATTATTACATGTTGTCTACGTTGCAACACAATAAATATGTGTGATGATTCAGGACGATACTTAAAGACTATGATAACATTTACGTGCTATTTTAAGCATGTCGGGCAATTTTTGATCCACGCCGGGGGTGCCACATCCGCGCCGAAGAATTTGGATTGTGTAGCCTATCTAACTACAAAACTTTTCGCAGACCGGGATCTTAATTTTGTTTACAATCCAAGATGTGAATTTTTAAATATATATATATATATATATATATAGGGTTACGAGGTGTAATGTCAGCATAGCCCTTCACTTCAGCCCATCTAGCAAATAACTAATTCATTCAGCAATAATGCACAATAGTAATGAAAAACTAATACCGCATTTACTGGGAAATTGTAATATGTAAATTAATGGCCTATTTTTTGATCAAATTAAAAACATTGATTGCTCTTTTCTAGGCAATTTCCAGGCTGCCTACATGCTAGCTTAATAAATCAATACCCCACTTTTAACTGTTATTGTAAATTTAGAAGATTTAACGCTTTTTGCGCTTTATAACTATGGGCCGAACATTTGGCACGTCATTTTGAGATGTGTTCTTAATTATGGCCTACGAACCTTATTTGATAACTTTGTTTTGATATTGGTGAAACCATTCGCGTTCACGACGACTCTGCAACTGTTCACTCCTTTAGGAAAGCTCCATAAGCAAATGTCAGTTTCGAGAAACATAGCGGATCGTTTCTTACTCTTTCACTCCACTGAAAAATCCCATACACTCTCAGCAACGATTACCTAAAATTATCGGTAAAATTATAACTGTTTGCCTATTTCCAATTCTGCTTGTTTGCACAGCTTGACTTGTGTGCCAAGGTAGTTGAGAGATTGTTTTTTTTATTTTTATTATTATTAAAGACCATCGCTTGAGAAGAATTGATCGTTGCAGTATCCTTGTTATCGAGAAAATCTCTGTGTAAAATATACTGATTCACTTCGCATCCACAGATATGGAAAATCGCTTCTGTAGGCGTGTTCTGCCTTCGCTCGGGACGTTGCCGCCCAGCGATCGATATCCTTAAAACTGGTTCTTAGAGCACTGTCCGACGAATCATCCGGTCAAGGTCGGAGTCTGCAATCAGAAGCTGCTCAAGTACTATCTACTCAAAGCATTGAAGCACGCATCAACATTTAAAAACCGAACGTGTTTTTCATAATAATAAATATTATAAAATGAAAATTATTGAAACTTTCCTAAGGAACTTTGTATTTTGTTTTGAAAACAATAATATTAATCATTAAAAGAAAAAGAAGCAGAAAATACTCGGATAATACATTCCCTCGAATAAACCGTATGTATTTTATACTATGGCAGGCATAAATCCTTTTTATACTAGGTTTGCATTCTCTCACTTTATACCGACCTTTGCGTCGGCACGGAGAGTTGCGATTTAGCGTAACTTTTATGCTATCTAGCTTTCAAATTTTTTTGACTGTAATTCTTTGCGTAGAAGGACGGGTCGAAACGGTTCACACGCTATTTATAAACAATCCTAATTTGAGTAGGATCTACTCTTACCCATCACAAATAGAGTACCCCAAATTGAGTAAACAAAGTTGGAACAACCGGTGGAAACTAACGATTTTAAATTGGCTCACTTCTTGGCCTATTGGTCCCAAGCAAACGATTAACGTACCCCATTCTAGTCAAAATTCTAGTACTACGCTAGGTTTGTTTTGATTCGCTGTGAAAGTTTGACAGATAAAATGAGAAGTTCGTGGATTTTCTTATGTTTCCATCGGTTAGTTTGGGAGGTGTCCATCGATTAGCTTGGGACTGAAGAGAGTACCAAAGCTGAGCCAAAAAGTTGGGCACGTTTTTTTCAGGACCTACTAGTCTATGGTTGGGACCAGTGTTGGCAAAATCATCAATCAAATGATTTTTTTTTCCGCTCTCATACGCTCTCAATATCACGCATGATATCGGAACAACATATCATGCTTGATATTGAAATGCAAAATGCAAAAATCAAGCTGAGAGTTGACAAGACACAACAATTCAAGTTGAACATTTGCATTAGGTCCTAAGTACCATTGATCGATTCTCTTCGTCGACTTTCTCTTTCGTTAATAACTTGAGAACATAACCGTTGCTTGTCGTGTTTGTCGTATTAGATGATGGATAAAAGCTTCTTTTATCGATCTGTGTGTTCAAGAGAATCTGTCAATGTTACTTAGGAGCTAATGCAATGTTCAGCTTGAATTATTCCGTTGCATATCGTTTTCTTAGAAAGATAAAGCATAGTTTGCTATCTCTCGTTACTCTTCACCCGTGGCACACACGAAGCTACTGCTGCTAGTAGTGATGGTAGTTTCGGGTCTCATTCGGATGTAAAGCAAAAATCATGAAACTTAAACTCACCGCGGTTGTGAATTGTAGCTGATGAGTTTTGCTAGCTTGATATTTGTAGCTACGATTGTAATATCATTCGCAGTTGCTCGCTTGTTGATTTTTGTCCAAGCGTGACTTGGGCACTGGTGAGATTGGACTTTTTGATATTTTCCCAACACTGGTTGAAACTGACAAGATAATGAATAGCTGGCGCTGGTGTTGGAGTGGTAAGCGTAACTGCTTTGTCACCCCAATGGGTCTGGGTTCAATCCCAGTCGAGGGAAGTA